GGCCGACGTGTAGTCCTTCACATCTCAAGCCATAACCTCCTACTGTCCAGAAACCACCCATGGCAACATTTGGAGCCAGAGGCCGTGCAGTGGCAATCCAGGGATGGAGTCACAGTAGCAAGATCCCAATGATTCATGCGGTCAACCAATCAGGAGTCCGTCTCACTTCACCCTGTGTTACATCATCAAATAACGAATTAAAACCTTCAGTGTGATTAAAAACTACCTAAAATGACAGAAACCATCTACTTTGCCTTTTTTCAGTTTGGTCCCCTGTGCTAACAAGGAGGAGGTGAGCTTAGTTAGAGAGAATCAGCATTGAATGGAAAATAGTAATGGTCCATATAGGGTGATGTTGAGGTACCTGATCTGGCACCAACACAGAACTCCCTATGGATCTGATAAAGCAACGTCGACGTGGGTTTGCACAAATCAGAGATAAAAAGATCCCCTCTTTGTCGACCTGCTGTAATAATATCCCCTCAGACGTCTTGAGTTCATGTAGGAAAAGACTAAAGTGTTTATGTGAGAATCTGTTTCCAAGTGAGTGATGTCGAATCCACAGGTCCGGAGACACATCACAGGAAACTTAATACAATTTCATTAAAACTACCATCGTATCGATCCTGTGGGACCAACTCCCTCTGCTGCTGCTGGGATCCACACATTGTTTTAAATGAGCCGTCACGCTGGAAGTCTTTAGTAACTACCCAGTACTTCCTAAAGCCCGTATCTCAGATTGTATCTGATGTGTGAACACCTGCCGAGAACAGGATGAGGGAGCAGTGGCTGTAAAGGTTTGTGGTGAATGACTGAGTCTATTGTCTCAGTTGGGGAAAGGAGCTCGTCACTGAGTTGTCAGACGGACAAAAATAAAAGCACCAGGTCGGAAAGCTTCGACACAACATCAAGTAAAGCCCCTCCCCTTCTTTCATCCCAGCCCCGTCTCCTTCCTCACGGACACAGGTAGATGTTTCAGCTCAGCCCTCGTCCTCATTTTCTCCTCAGTCATTGCTTGGTAAAATAACACACACCTCAAATTCAATTACTCCACTAGTCGAAACATTTAAATGAATCATTGGCGATGAAATAAAGTGGCTGCCCTCTCATCTGATCGAGGCACGGACAGGTGATAGTGTCATACTGCTGTTCCACTCCGAGGTGAGTGTCGGTGTCAGGTTTTACTCTAAGAACTTGGTTCAGGCAGAAAGAGAAACTGAGCTGAGTCACTGTGAAAGAAGTGGTCCTACTGGTGCAGCACAGTACGTCCTCCTGTGCCTCGCTCATCTTCTCACAGTGTAATTGAATCTCAATTATTTATGGGCGTATGTCTGCAGCTGCAGAGACACGATAACGATTCCCTCTGTTCATGTGTGTATCTGTGTGTGTGTGTGTGTGTGTGTGTGTGTGTGTGTGTGTGTGTGTGTGTGTGTGTGTTGCCATCACAGCATGGATGGATATGTATACATGTGTATGCATGTACAAATATGCATGTTCGTGTGTGACCATTTACCCTTATATACACCGTGTGTGCGTGGGGGGTGCACCGCCTCTATAAGCAACCTGAGCTCGCCTGACTGATGTTACCTAGCGAACACATTCCCATTACTGTACCAGGCACACAATGGACTTAACGTGTGTGTGTGTGTGTGTGTGTGTGTGTGTGTGTGTGTGTGTGTGTAAAACCTGTGTGTGTATTTCAAGTGACTTGAGGAGGGGCCACATTCAAAATGGACCCTTACATCGACAGACGTTCTCGTCTTCAACCAAATGTCTTAAATTAAGACGCTTGTTTTGGGGGTGTCCGTCCACGGTGCCATTCCAGTCTCCTGTGTATATGAACAGTTTATATTTTTATAGCAGTTCACAGAATTCAAGGCGGCTCTCACAAAATTGTCATTGTGTGTGTGTGTGTGTGTGTGTCTTTATTCTTCCCACCTCCCTGTAGCATGGTCCCAACGTGACACCCAGTCTAAATGTTTTAGTAGCTCCATGACAGCTCCTTACACATGGAAACTACATTAACAAGGCGATTTTGTATGACAGGCGAGCCAGCTACTGAACAGTGAGCTCTATAATCAGTGACAAAGTGTGGGGCCACAGGGTTACACGACTCTGTCTGTCAGGCACCGACATGTCAAGAGAGCTCATTGTGCGCACCTTCAGCTCCGCGGCCCCCGATAGACGGGATCCATATCTCATCGTCATTGTTTTTCTGCGGAGGTGTCGGGTTTGAGGATGTTTTTGACAGATGCACAGCAGACGGGAACTCAGGCTCCAACCTCATTCGAGCCGAAGCTGAACCGTGTCTTCGGCTTATGATCGTTATCGAATGTTGTTCCAGCCCAGACACTAATCAGGACACAATATCTTGAAGATGCAGTTTGTATGAAAGGCTTGTTGTAGGAGAGTCTCACACTTCCAGGAGAGTCTCCTGTTCCATTTCATGGCTCCATAATTCCAGATTTAATGTTCTACAGAGTATAGGTAAAATACAGTGTTCAATCAAATAGATTCATCCTGATTTCCTGCTGCTGTAAACTAGAGTCTTTAATTCAGCGTACAGCAGGTCAGCTGTCAGATGTTTTGCACCGATGGATTTTCCTTTTACAAGAGCAGGTTTCCACATAAAATCAAGCTTCTACCTCTACCAACATGTGCGCACGCTAAACGGGTCATTACCCAAGTCCATTGTGCAGGTCCTGCCCCGGTGATTGTGTGACACCATTTCTATTATTGATAGATTTCTGTTGTCTGCTCATTTCTTTCAGTAGCATTTGTGTGGAGGCAGCATTTACCTGTGAACTAGTCACGTCTGTCATAGATAACAAACTCAAAGAACCATTATCACTACGATGTTTCTAAAAACCCCACACAGGTTGACACAGTACAAGAAGAGAAGCAATAAAAAACCTGTGAGTTCTTATTGAACTGTGTTGCAGGGTCTCTGAGCGAGCGCTGTGTCCTGAGTGGTCCCACTGTGCGCCACGCAAATCACTGATCACACTTTGTGAATAGATCTGAAGCGTAACCATCTCACAACATAACAGCGTTTGACTGCTGGAGTCTGTAGATCGCTATAGTCGTCTGGCTGAGTTACTGTAGCCGATCGATTTCTCTCTCGCTCTCATTCTTCTCACATAATCGATTTTTTCCAACCTTTGTTCATCCTTTTTTAAGTTCATCATCTGTGACAGATGTGATTATTGGTTAATTTCTGCAAATTGGACGTCATGAGACACCGTGAAGTCACAAGTGACAGCAGCCTTCAGAGTCTCCTGCAGGTTAAACTTGAGTGTCTATATTTTGCATTAAAAACACATCTGTTTTCTTAACATGTCATACTTCAATTAAATGTTTTTGTCATAAGGGTTTGATAAAGGCATCTTAGGAATAATATGCCTGTGTTGGCATCAGCCCCTAAAACACACAACTGTACCCATATAATGCATTCTTTAAGAAATCATAGCTACACTGGTGCTCTTACTCCAACGACCCTGTCTTCAGTGTTAAAGAGAGTAGAAAAGAAAGTCTTGGCTCCTCCAAATGTCTTTGGATAATCCTACTGAGAGACGGACGAACGGCATCGAAAACATACCGGAGTGTGTGCTGCTCTGCAGTTTGGTCGTTTTCAGGTTTTTGTTTGAGCCCCTTGTTGTTTTTTGTGGTTTTCTGCTTCTTTGGAGTCCGTCTGTTTTGCTACATACACCTCGGGGACTTTCTTCTGTTATAAAAGTGATTATTCAGGTTCATTATTCCGGCTGTGGACTGAATAGCATGTGGGGCCCACCTCACTCGTTCCTCCATGGACTTGTGCAGCTTAGTGGCAGTGACAGACTTGGCCATACGCTTGTGCCGTGGGGGGGGGGCCGGTATCAAGGAGCACATTACCATAGTGTCAATTCTTCCATTCAACTACCTCCACAGACATGTATTGAGGGCCAGCCAGACAGAGGGCCGGCCGCAGTGAATGGCTGTTTACCGGCAGGTCGGGTTTGTCTCCGGTCACATGCGGCTAAAGCCACCGTAGCTAACCTGCTCAGGGTGATCGCTGCGCACACGCTGACTCCGACGCACAATGGAAATCGAGCCCGGCGACTCAAACTCAACACCAAAACAAAGGTCCTCCCACAGACACGCTCGTATCTCTCTTTCAGTCACATGTGTTCCCGCACACACCCTCACGCCACAGTTAAAGTCTGACATTTTAATCCGAGGAACAGAGCCGGTGTTTGTGTCGTGGACTGAAGGGAGGCTGCGCGTTAAGAGGGATGACAGAGCCGAGGGAAACCGCTCTGACAGGAGAGATGAAGTCACACAGAGTTCGGAGGAAAAAAAAGTGAAATCATGAAAAATGTTTCCTGTTATCTATCTCCCATAGTCAGAATCAGAAGTAACTCGCGCTTCACGATTATTATCAGAGAGTGAAATGTGTGTCACATCTTGGAAAAGGAGCTGCGCTAGTTTTCTGAGACTCAGAGGCCGTGAAGTGTTTTTGTGAAAAATTTAAGATCCCTTCGGAAGAGAAACAGAAACGAGGAGGTTGAAGTAGAAGAGGGGGCCTCAGAAATATTTCAGAGCTTTGACACAAACACACTGAGATGTGTGTTTTCTTTCAGGATGATTTTATTTGTTTCCACGTCACGTTTTTTTTTTTTTCTCACTGATGGAATCGGTTCAAGAGCCTTAGGGTGTGTTCACACATGTTTGAAGTTTATAAGGAGAACATTCAGAATTAATTGGTTTTGGCAAAATGTCATTTGAGATAAAACATTTTTTACAAAATTATATGCCAAGAATTTGAACAAAGAATCTTGGGAACCAGTTTCAGCGACACATTGCGTCGCCAAAACAGAGGAGGAGATAAATAAACTGATATTATTATTCGTTCATCCATCGGTGCCGATCAGAAACCTGAATTTAAAATGTTTCCGTTGAGAATCCACTGAATCTTGTCCTGTTTTTCTTCATTCGTTATTTTCTCTGTCCCTCTCTTTTAGGGAGTTGTCATCCCGACATCAGATCAGTGTCCCGTTCAGGAACGCCAGGGAGTCGACGCTGATCTGACGCTGAAGAGGTAGAGGGACGTGACGGAACAAGTGAGGGAGACAACGCTAGTTAGTAAATCAGGTTATTGGACCCAGACAAGTAACGAGCTCACACAAAAACCCGAATTAAACAACTCCCACTAGAATAAATGGAACACCACTAAAAGTCACTGCTCACACTGTGTACTGGGGGCTGATCCGTCTGCACTGTGTGATGTCACAACCACACTAAATCATAAACCATCAACTAAAAGGCAATAAAGTGTAAGTGCCTTTATTTGATTAAGATTACATGTATATCATCTCATAGGAAAAATCTGTGAGCAATCCCTGTGTAGTGAGGCGGCCGCTCTGCTGACAGTTCACTTGTCTAATCAACACTCGTGTGTTTTGTTGACGTGTGAGTCGGGAATCGTAAATCACGACCGGGAAAGTCTCGGCTCCCGAGGTTGTCTGGAACGCAGGCGTAATCGCCGCGCGGGTCGTGTGAGGACTCGTGTGGGGACTCGAGTCAACACCTGAACAAACCTGTGGATTTAAACTGCAGGTGAACTGAAGCAGGTTGTATAGATCAGTTCATGTGTAGCTGTGAAGACAGATTTCTGAATAACGTGTGTGTGTCTCTTTGGTTTTACTGTGTGCTGCACTGGTGCTGTTTTTTTTATTTTTCCACTTGACCCATAAACGCTAGAGAATGACTCTGTTTTTATCTTCTTACGTCATCGACACTAATAAAATATTGATATTTTACTTTTTAATGGGGACTTGTTACTTATTCAGGAGAATGTCTGTCCTGGACTGACTGCGACATCCCTTCTGCTCAGTGACTCCGCAGTTTTTCATCCGGCTTCCACTCATCTCGTTATCGTCAGAGCTTGAGGGTTCTGATGTCAAATCAATCACAGCGAGAGAGAGTTCACAAATCTCACAGTGTGTTTTCCTCCATTACGTTGTGTTCAGGAAGAAATCTAAATTCGGATTTGTTGGGTGAGGAAGAGGAGGCACCACAGATGAGTGCAGCAGCGTCGAGAGTTCAACCTCGTCTCCACATGATTGTGCGTTCGTCGACACTAGTTTTGACACAATATGGTGTAAATCTCACCGCTTGGCTTCACCTGTTGTGTGAAAATCCAAGAGCGTCCCTGATGAGAGGAAACAGTCAAGTCAGTTTGCAGCAGATGGACAAAGGTTGATTCTTGGTTCAGAGACACTTCAGAGCTCTTTCTCTTTGAACCAGTGGTTCTGTTCATCCTCTGTCTCTCCTCCAGGGTTGAGGTATTTCAGTGGTGACCTATTAAAAGGCTGTGGAATGTACCGAGCCCAGTCTCTGACCTTGTAATGGTTTGACCTGCTGGTTCAGGATCAAACTGCACGACCCGGACAGAAAGGTGGGGGTGGATGCAGGGGTCACATACCTCTGCTCACTTAGCCTGCACAGGTCCGGGGCGATTATGAAACAGAGAGACGTCTTCACGGTCAAACATTAACGTTCAGATGTTTTTTTTTTACTCACATTTTGTATCTAAAAAAATATAATCCTGAACAAAACACCTGAAGCAGAACAGCCTGTTTCAGTCTTTAGGTCCAAATTATCGTTAAGGAGATATTTTCTATGTTGTTTCTTTTCCTGGAGGATTTGTCGTAATTAGACGTGTTTGACGTTCGTGACTCTTCACATGAAGAATCAGGAAAATTGCTGTTTGGGATCTGAAGGATTTAAGGCTCATAACATGTTATAATTAGCGTCTGCGGTGGAAGTGACGTGTTCTGTTAATCTCTGTTTGCTCGCTTGTCTCAAAAAGCTCTTCGGAGATTTCAGTGAAAGTTACAGGAAGTCATGAGACAAGGAATTATTTATTTTGCACTTTCACGTCCTGCCCTTAAAAAAAAAAAAAAAGCACCTCACTTTTTCACAGTATCTCAGACAGACGGAGACGTAAACTGATTTTCTCTCACTCTTGTCAAACCACATCGACGCAAACTGTCTCAATCTTCACCAAATTAGAATCATGACATATTTGTTTGTGTCCTGAAAGTTGTGTCGTTCCGACCTCAAAGAGATTTTGTAAAATGTGCTCCACAGTTTCATGGTCATTGTGAATAGCATCAGAACATTTTTTTTTTTTTTCTGCTATTCACCAACAATCGATCGGGATTTTTTTGTAATTTATAAAAACCTAAAGTTTATTAAAAAGCAATTCATTAAAAAATACGTATATCTGAGAGCAGGGTTCCTGCTGGGCATTCAAAAGAGTAAAATAATAACTTTCAATGCATCTGTTAGAAAAGTTCTTCACAGAGGACAAATAAGAAAAACAAAACAATCTTCAAGCAATTCATTCAATATAATTTAATCAAAGATCTAAAATCTATATAAAATAATGCAACATCATTTAAAAGTAACGGCGAAAGAGAAGGAATAAAAAATAAACATAAGGTAATAACGTAAAAGAAAGTTAGTGCATGAGCTCAGAGTCTGTCGTATCAGATCGGGTTGGATCAGACAGATTGATGGAACGAATGTTTAACAGTTCCAGCAGGACAGGTCGATGAATTTCAAAAGATTCCTGTGTGTAGCTGAGCAGGAAGCTGGAGTTAATGATTGCCTCCTGATTCTGCCCGTTGAGCTAATCTACCATCGCATTCTTTCATTGTGAGGGAAAGTGGACGAGAGCCTCTCTGAACCCAATCTCCAGTCGACGAGCAGCTGAGCTCAGAGCGTCTCAGCTTCAGATCTGGGATCGCACCTGATGACAACAGCGTTAAAAAAAAAAAAACAATCCCCTCGGATGTGAGTTCATATACGTGTCGGCATCACAGGACGTAGAGATTAAGTTCTGTGAGTAAAATGACTTCAGAGTGGAAATAAAAACAGAGGTAATAGGAAGTGGCGAACAGGAAACCGAAAGGCAGCATCTGCTTCCCTCCATTCATCTGTTGGTGCCGATGGTGATGAGGCTGGAGTCGGAGCGAACATCCTGTCGGACGCCCGCCCCTGTCGCTCCTCTGCACACAGCTCACGCTCTCCAGATGTGCAACCGTGTGCGGCCGCCGCTCCGTCCGGCATCATCATCATCTGTAAGATCACTCATGGTGTCATCAGCTTTAAATATTTTTGCCTCCTCGCTCTCACTGACCTCCTGTATCTGGTCTTCCCAAGAAAACAACATAAAAACCTGAGTAAAAACTTTATTCTAATAGACCTGAACTATTACAGCTGTTATTTTTATACGGTAGATTGCGAGTCAAAGTATGAAGTAATTGTTTTACCCTGACCTCTCTGCATGTTGACTCTGACCCTGTTTGTCTGATGGTGAAACAGGGGAGCTTGTTTTCTGACACCTGGGTGACACAGTTTCCTTAAAGATGTTCTCTGCAGCTTCACTTTTCTTTTCCTCTGCCTTCAGATCTATTCATGTGCGATCTGATCTCTTTGCATTCTTTAAACCCTGAGCTGCTTCTCAACTTATCACATTTCAATCAGCGTCCTCGTCGTCCGTCTCACGTTACGCCGCGGCATGACAACAAAAATGTCAACGCAAACAAGGGATTTCAAGAGGTGCGAAGAAACACAAAATACATTTTCAGTATTGTGGAGTTCGGTTTTACGAAACTTTATTGTAACCACCAGATACTTGACTAACATTTAGGAATATGTGGGAGGGACGGAGAATATTTTGCAGCTGAATGAATGAAGCTTGAGGAAACATCGGTCTGTGAATGTGTGTTTTACAGTTTCAGTGCAAGACAAATAATGATGCACCTGAAATATGACTGACATGTTCTTGGCAGCTCTGAAGCATCCACCTGTGGGAACTCGCTTTACACACACACACACACACACACACACACACACACAGACAGGTTTGTGCAGATATGTTTATAAGGACCAAAACAAAACGTATCACTAACCTTAACCACGACATCACAAATTACATTTAACCGTAACTATTACACGACGGACACTAATCCATTACCTCAACTTAACTTAAACTCAACCTTAACCTAACCTTAAAACTTGTCTTTGCCTTAAATGTTCTGATTTATTTTAGGTAAATGTGACTTTGTAAACACTCGACACTCACACATCAGTTGAACGTGTCGTTCTCTCAGAGACGCCGTGTTTGCCCTCGACAGGTGTGAGGAACACGAGGTCAAGGCAGCTCCGGTCAGTGTGAGTGTTGACTCGTGGTTGATGTTTAATCCAGAGTTTACGTTACTGCGCTGGGTGGAGCGCGTCACCCTCACCGGCCACGACATCACCGAGCCGATCAGCAGCAGATTCATTTCTTTGATTCTACAGGAGTTGATTGAAGGTTTTTTTTTTCTGCCTGATGGTTTTTCGCAGTGTTCCGCTCTTGACCCGACCCTGGAAAACGAATGACTGAAATAGTTCACTTCCTCCGTGATGATGTCAGGACCCCGTTAGATAAACTGTCCTCGTGTTCGATGCCAGATTTCCAGATACGCTTCTTTGTCTTTCATCTCGTTTTTCCAACTTTGTTTCCCTTTGATTCAGGACCAGAGCCCTCGGCTCTCTGCGTTTCATGCAGGTGAGAAATTTAAATCCTGCAGATGAAAGATGGAAATGATAATAAAATATTTACCATTCAACGTGGGCCAACAAATTTAACTCTTTGCTCTCCTTGCATGGCTCATGTTAGCATTGAGTGATCATTGGCAGGACAAGTAGTTATAATATGTCCTCTAGGTGGCGCTACTTCTTACGAGACAGGACGTGCTGGGCTAGCTGGATAGCATGCTAACTTCAGTAGAAAACACAAGCGATAGAAGAACTAGAAGCAGAACAGTGACGTTGCTTTACCGTGTTGGAAGCGACACTTTGTTAAGTTAAGTTTTATATAATGAATTTTAACGTAACCTTCTCATTTTATCGCCTCCTGATTGAACTTACAAGGTGAGACGGAAAACGTGTTTTGATTCTGACATATCAGTGATGATGAGTTAGATTTCACAAATCATACAAATTTGCATGTAAAGGACTTGTAACCTCTAGATTCAGTGTCTTTTAAAAAAAAAAAAAGCATTTTCTGTGCATGAGGTAGAAATATATCACCTACTTAATTTCAGGCTCTAATTTCTTGCCTAGAAATAATCAAACATGTTGTGAAATATTCATTCAGTAGAAAATCTTTGGCTTTGGTGCCACGGACACAGTTTGCTCTTGGATTAACAGGTAATAAGAAAAATATTCATAACTTTCTGAATAAATGATTCAAGTGCATAAAAATAAAGAATCCCCAGAAGTCGTGACGCTTTACATTGATCTTCTTTTGTTTCCCCTCACACTGACTGACAGGACTCTTTGTTCAGCTCTGGAGCTTTTTTGGAGTTTGTGTCTCTGCGTCTGTGACGTCACCGCTGCCGCTCTGTCTTGTCTGGCAGAGCTGCTTTTATAATATATATTGATCGCCCCTCCGCCCTCCCTGCTGGCGTTAGCTCTAACTGACTGGCGGACGAGTGCAGGAGCCGGAGATGATTGAAGTGACCAAATAAAAACGGAACGGAACCGGCTCATCGAGTTCATGAATGTCAAGGCCTGGCACCCCCCCCCTCTATAAATCACAGCGTCTTATTTCTCTTGTTTACTCTCACTCTCTCTCTCTCTCTCTCTGCAGGTCGGCCTCTCTCTTCCTCTTCCTTGTGTTTTTAACTCACTCCATCGTATCAGCATTTTAGGCAATCAGAGACTAAACCTGCGTTTGTTAGAAAACCAAGTTTTCCGATGTGAACTTCT